ACATGATCGAGCCGTGCCACCCAGCAGCATTCATTCAACAATTTATTTGTGTTCCATTTCACGGCCGAGATCAGACCAAACAATAGAAACATTCCTTCCACAGAAATGAAATGTTTAGTTTCATCATCACCAGCAGAATCACTCTTCAAATAAATGTGTCGCATTTTCTTCATCCTTCGTGCTTGCTCCACGTCTTCCATGTCCATGCGGTTATCCCCGAAGTTCATTTTCCTTCGGTTAGCTTACCTTTTATTTAGGCTTTCATTATCTTGCGAACATAGCAGAGCATCTTGAGAAAAGAAAAAATTTCAAAAGACAGAGGTTAAACTAACGCAATAGAATATGCACGGTGGGCAAAATTTCAACGTGTTAATACAGTGGAACCTCGATAAGGGCCAAGGGAGTGGCAAAATTCGTTCGCTATATAACGAGGTTTCGTTACACTGAGGTTCTTTTTCATATATTTTACTATTACTGGGGTAAAGAAAGTCGTTCGTTATATCGAGGACTTCGTTATATAGAGGTTCTTTATATCGAGGTTCCACGTATCCGGATATTTTTGACAACGGAGATTTTTTGCTTCGTTTCGAAAAAAAACACACGTTCATACGTAGCATATGAGAATTGTTTTCGCCCGTCCACCCTTACAGAGCATGCGTAAATGCCAGTAAAAAATGTTGTATTCGATAATCCTTTTTTTCGTCCATCCACGTAAACGAGAAGCCGGTGTTTTCAAAAATATCTACTCTGAATGGCGTTTCTGAAAAGGTGAGTTTGCACTGACCGTTTTCACCGAATACGTGTGGTCGGTAGGCCAAACAAGAGGAAAATATTTTCCTTTTCAAACAAAAACGGATGCATCTGGACTGGTCCTAAGTCATAAGTTGACTCGCCCGGCAACTGACTTTTACCCGGAGTGGGGGGCCGTTTCCATGAGGGGTCCCACTGGGACCTCAACATCCCGGGCACGGACTTGTGGAAATATGACGGTGATTCCACTATTTCTGAAACAGTCACGAAGTTGGAGGACAGTAAAGTCCAACAAACGGTTGATGAATTTGCAAAGAAAGTCGCTGCTGATGAGTTCCAACTAAACGAAACGAAGTGCACGAAACTACTTATAACATTCATTCATCCTAAAAGGGTTAATGATCAGGATTGAAAGTATATAGAGCAAGCTAAGATTTTAGGTTTTCAGATATCGAACAATCTTTCGTGGAATAACCACATATCCGAGGTCGTAAAAGAAAGTAAACAAGTGCTTTTTCTGCGTCAGTTTAAGTGTGCACAAGTCAAGTCCGTGCAACTTTTGCTCTTCCACTTGACTTGCATAAGGTCTGTTACTGAATACACATGCCCTGTTTATCATAATAGCCTCCCGCAATACCTTTCAGTAGATCTAGGGGAGTTGTCAAAGGCTAACATTGTGTATTATTAATCCAGATTATTCATACAATGAGGCGCTTTCCTTGACTGGGCTTGTTCCTTACACGAGCGCCGCGAGTTCGTAAGTGACAAGTTTTTTAATTCCGTCCTTCGCACAAGATGTTTGGCATGTTTGCTGTGTGCAGGACTGGACGTCGTATCCACGCAAGTTCATTGCTTCAACCTCTTATCTTTGATTCCTTAAAGTCGATTGGCCGCTACAAGGAAATAGAAATGTCTCGCGCTGTTTGCTACGTGGCGGAGGACCACGTCTGTCTAGAACACTTTGCCAGTTATCCAGAAAACTTTAAATAGCGGCTAACGTCTACTGTTAGAACTACTGCTGTGAGCTTTAGTCTTAGAACGGTTACTGATCTCAATTAAAAGGGCGTGACTCAAACTTTTCCCTTCACAAACAAGGAGTGAAGTTTTCCTCCTTCTTCGTAAGCCAATATTGACCATAGCCCTAGAAAATCGCGTCCGACAAGTGGTGAATCTCTGCCTTGACGACCTTTCCGAAATGGCCAGCCTCATGACATCAGGGAGTTGCAAAGCCTTGCAACTTTCCAAGCTCAGACTTCCATTTTAACCATCTCGTCGATATGTGATCGGCTAACAGATCGTCGTTGAGTAAATCAAGTGTACGTACTCAGCGTACTATTCCGAGAGAAACGAACTTAACATTTTCAATGCTGTGCATCCACGGCTATAAGTGAGCATGTATAGTCTTTAAGTAGTTAGTTACGATTAGATAATAAAGTTAATCAAAGAATTCAAAGTCAGTACAGTCATTGAATACAACATGAATATTAACATAACGAGAAATATAACTTGGGTCACTTCTTATGCTTATCACACATGAAGAAAAAAGGTACGTTATCATAACATAAAAATGTTTTTTTAGCTTTGTTAATTTGTTCTTGTATTTTCTTTTTAAAGTATTTAATGTGATTTTCTCTGTTTTCCTGGCAGATAACAGCCCTTCCGGCAATGTTGTGCTTAGGATTGCATGTTGATGTAGATATACTTACTTGAATTCTGGGTTAAATGTCTTAGATGTTAACAGTGCATTAACTGTGCGCACAGCTTTGTGGAACAGACCACAGGAGATAATTCAGTGAAACCAGTGTGTTGCTGAACAAGGTAACCCACTATGTGTAAATGGACAGGGCGGTTTAATTTACCTCGGGTACGTTTGAAGCCTTTGTTATAACGTGTTTCATGCCCCTAATTTTAAAGTACGATCTTATATGAACTGAGAATGTAGCACAATCCTAAGAGCCAGAAAATGAAAGACTGTTCGATCGCCGCTTCTCGACTCAGCTCAATCCACGATGATTAGGCTTAAAAGCCAGTCAAATAAGGACAAAGTTTATCGCATTCATTGGGCATTGTGCCCACTGTGCTGTTCGCACGTTTTCTTCGCGTTCTTAACTAAATTATCCTGGTTTGGCACTTAAATTCATAACTGTCTTTTAGGCACAAGCATGGCTGACATGATCACTTGAAAACAGAATTACCTACGTACATTTAAATTGACCGGGAGGTTTGGCCTTTTTGAATCCACAAGTAACACTACAGAGACGAGGCGTCGACACGGTCTGTCCGCTTGCACGCAAATATATCCTTTGTAAAACAGATAAAAGATGGCGAAAACAGCCCATCCTGATTTTCAGCAATACACACTAAGTAGGTGGACAGCTTATACTGAGCTGTGCGTCGGGCGAATTCGAAAACTGACAAAACAGATGGCTTAGATCTTTATATATTACCACGCACTTATGCACACTTGACTAGCTTATGAAGCACCTAGTATTTCACACAACGATATTAGCCCGCCGGCATACCCACCGGTTTCCGCGCGAGTTCGTAGTGGAAGTTAAAACGTCATTTGAACAAAGTGATTCATGTTATCTCAATGACCAAAATCTTACTTTCTTAAGAGTTTATCAAGAAAGTCATTGAAACAGATTATTAGGTCATTCACTCTGCCGTGGAAAAGTAATGTCCTTTGAGTCAGATAAAGCCAGAAAACGAAGCATTTACATCCTGTTTGGGTTAATTACCCTTGACATCAAATTGTTGCAGCTTTTATTATTAACTCTGCCGGGCTCATCTCAATTCCAAACTGGCAGCTCTTCGACGCTAATTTTCACATGTATTTCTTTACAAGTCACCGAAATTTATCATTTCCAATATTCTCCGTCCTTTGAAACTGGTGTCCGCGATGGTAAGGCAATGTAGTGCAAGTGGATCGTTTTTGAAGCACAACAGCATCCTAGGTCAGGTTGATGAAAATTACAAGCGCTTAACTTTCTCCTGTGTAAATGTTAGAGAAGTTTCTGAAGTTTGAAACGGTGTAAACTGATGGCTAGATCTTGAAGGATCGTTGATCGTTTTATTTTGGTTGTGCAGTTTTGTTGCGTTCGACGTTAGGAGAACGCTTCGTAATCTTTGGGGATCCTGTGGTCGATGGGATACCTGTGCATGCCAGGCGTGAAGATTCGAGATTTTTGGTTACTTGGACGGGCGATGTTCAAAATCTGCGCCATTTTGAATAATTATTAAGCGCGTGCACGAATTTTAAGCCCAATAGCCGGCCAAAGAAATTGCGGGCTCACCTGGTGGACATGCGCACACAACTATTTTTATGCGCAAGCAACTATACCTCGTGCGAGTGCGCACGCAACTATACCTCGTGCGAGTGCAAGCTCCTCGTGCGTCCGTGTCGCCTCCGTGGATATCTTTGCGTCCGTGTCGCCTCCGTGGATATCTTTGGATTATTCGGTAAGTTCATTTATTTTTCTCAAACTTCATGCGATGTTTCTTAAAAAGTTCATCGCTTCAACTTGTCAAAGCCTTACCAGGAAACTTTTTAGTACTCCAAGAGCATGTAGAAAGCCCGATGTCGGCGTTGTCCGAACTACAACAAACCGAAGACCTTCGCTGCTCTCCTGCTTTGAATTGATGTCCTCGAATTTGCCGAACAACAAAGCAAATCAACCGATAACTCTGACACAAAGTTGTCTCAAAGCAAATCTACCAAGCCATTGTGCTTTGACCCATAGCGGTCACAAATACAAACCAAACAAACCGAGTCATTGTACTCGGTGGCCATTGCGCCAAATGGGTCTTGACAAACTGCGAGCCAGCGAGCCAGCGAGTCATGCGAGTCGAGCCACGATATTCTTAAGCCATTGGCATTGGTTTTATTATGAAAGACGCAAGACGTTTGGGTTTTAAAGAGTGTTTTTTTATGTTCTGGTCACGTGGCTTACCACATATGGTGTGACTCATTAAACGTGACCGAGGAAGAACCTTTAAACCTTTGTTTAACACATTCTCAAACCTTTGTTATTGTTTCACCTCGTTCAATTTGTATGTTGGCGAATTTTTCTGAAGCTGAATTTTAAAGGACCTGCCTTTGGAATAGATACGTTACTTAGTAGTTTACGTTAAAAACAAAGTTATTTTATGCTGACTCGCATGACTCGCATGGCTCGCATGTTGACTCACATGTTGACTCGCATGACTCGCTGGCTCGCTGGCTCGCATATTATACACACTCGCGCCAAATGACCCGTTGTGGTCACAAAGCAAATAAACCGAGTCATTCTGCTCGATGGCCATTGCGCCAAATGAAAAGTGACAAAAGTCAAATGGTTACCGGGCTGATAAGTGGTGATTGTAGTTCACAAGATCATGATAAGGCTTTGACAAGTTATTCTTCTGAGAAAATTGAAAATCATAGTGTAACTATTTCTGAAAATGTTGAAGTTCGTAAGAAAAGAGTGAATTGTCAGAGGAAAAGGGACAGGGAACCATCTCGCGTTCCTGTTAAAATAATTCTAAAGGCACTAAGTAATACGAAGTCTAGGAATAGAATCAAGTCTTTTGTAAGACAACATCTTCCAGACAGTTCTTTTATCACTAATTTATGTAGAAATTACAACACCTGGAAATTCTGGTATACCAATGATCATTATTATAGTAAATTTGTTTTTTACATGAACATACAGAAAAGAAAATTTACAACAACAGATAACTATTCTACATGTAACTGTAGACAAACACATATCCGTGTGGCAGATTTAATGAATTCTGGTGGAAAAAGCTTTCCTCAAACTCATAATGATAATTCAAAATTAAATGGAGCTATGTCTCCTGAGAATGCTGTTAGTCATGATTTACCATGGGATTGTTTAACTGAAAGGCTTCGTCTCATAGGACTTATACCACATGATGTAGGTGGATTTGGGGATTGTTTCTTTAAATCAGTTTCGCACCAACTGTATAGGACTGCTGACTTGCATCTTGAAATTCGTATGGCTGGAATTGGCCATTTACAGAGTTACCCAGAATTGTATATTGAAAGCATTTCTAATGATCACTGGAATAACTATATTCAACAAATGTCAAAACAAGGCACATGGTGTGATAACATCATAATGCAAGCTGTATTAATGCATACAACTGTGTCATTCATATCACACAGTCTAATATAAATTCACCTGAAAGTACAATCTTAACTCCTGTTGCTGATCAGGATGGACGAAAGACAATATTTATTGGATATATTAACGAGTTGCATTATGTTTCAACATTGACTGACAAAAAAACAGTAGATATAAAAACAAACTCACATGCATAAAGAGAAAATTATCAGAAACCAATGAAAACAGACATGGTAGACTTCTTAAGCACAGAAATTACATGAAAAGAGTCAAATATACAGAAACAGCTAATGAAAGGGCAAGCAGACTTGAAGATAAGAGAGGCACTTATAGAAAAACAATGTCTGAAGAAACTGCTGAAAAGCGAAAAGAGAGACTTAAAAATAAGAGAGACACTTATAGAAAAAGAGTGTCTGAAGAAACTGTTGAAAAGCAAAAAGAGACTAAAAAGGTACAAAGACTCTTATAGAAAAGAACGTCTGAAGAAACTGTTGAAAAGCGAAAAGAGAGACTTGCAAATAGGAGAGCCAGTTATAAAATGTCTCAAACAATTTCTGCAGGACAAAAAGAGCTCTGCTGGTCCAGTTCACGAACAAAAACGTGCACAAAATAACATGAACGATTTTCATAAGTCCAATCAGTATTCAGTTTGCCAATGCACTGTCTGTTTTGAAGCATGGCCATTGAAATCCAGTCAAGGAAGGTTGATCACTACCAGTGTCAGAGGTGCATCTGAGATAAACAACAACCAAAAAAGTTTTCTAAGGAAAATGACATGGTGCCATCATTAGTACCTTTACAACTGCAGGGGTTAACCCAAGTAGAAGAAATGCTTATTGCACGTGCACTTCCTGTTATGCGAGTTTACATAAAACCTGGTGGACAAAGGGGCTATTCAGGCCACTGTATCAATTTGCCTCAGGATATAGCTGAACTAGCACATTCTCTGCCTAGATACCCAAAAGATCTATCTGTTATTGTTGTTAAGATGAAAGGTAAAGAGAACAGTTTTAAAGATGTGACAGTGCGAAGGCAAAATGTAGCTGATGCACTACAATGGCTTGTTAATAATAACTCACACTACAAGGACATAACCATCAATCAAAATTCTTTAAATTCTTTACCAGAACATGGTGTTCCACTTGGTCTTCTCTCGGTTGAAACAGAGAATATAGATTTGGATGCCACATGTGAACCTGACTTAGGTCCTCAAAATGAAGATGACATTGTTTATAATGAGGGTACTGAAATGAGTAGTTTTCTGCCTATTCCAGAGTGTCAGCAGCAAGAAATAGAAGCCAGCGCCAACAATTGTCTAATGATTCTAATCACTTGCCCTGGCCAACAGTTGGCAGTGAACCATTAAACAGTATGTAACTCCCTTTTTAGCAACAATGGCTTTCCCAACATTATTTCCAGATGGTAAGGGGTGATCCTACTAACCCATCATTACGCCGAGATATACCACTCGGAGAAAGAGTAAAGCACCTTTTAAAGTTTGGAGAAAACAAGAATGACAAATGGGTATATCGCTTTGCTACTCACCCCAGATTTGGTTACTGGGCATTGAATATGATACAAAGAAAACGTATTCTGCAACAGACAGGCATGTTCCTAAAACAAAACCCAGGAGAAGCTCATTTGACTGCTGAAGAGCTGCGGCAAATGGCAACTAGCAATAACACAAGTATGTTTATATCTAAGATATCACGCTATCTTAGTAACATTACTGGTTCTAATGCTTATTGGCACAAAGCTAAAGAAGATTTAGAAGCAATAATAGCCCATGCTGGAGCTCAACATTCTTTTTTTCACATTCTCCTCTGCTGATATGCATTGGCCTGAACTTCATGCAATTTTTGGCAACTCAGTCAGTAATAATTCAACTGACAACAAACGGCAGAATGTGATTAACAATCCTCATATTACAGACTGGTTCTTTACACAGCGTTTAGAAAGTTTTATTAAATACTGGTTATACAATTCACTAGATGCTGAGTGGCACTGGTACAGATTTGAATATCAAGCTAGAGGTAGTATACATTGTCATGGTGTAGCAAAGCTGAAAATGATCCAGGTTTATGTAAACTCTCAGAAACAGCTCTAAAAGGCTATTTGGCTGAAATGTCCACTAATACAGCTGAGCAAGTCAATATACTAGAACTCAATCAACAGATAGTGGATGGGAAAAAGGCTTCCCAGGTAGTTTGTCAGTATGTAGATTGGTTATTGTCTACATATAATCCAGATCCACCAGATAATGGCACATGGGTGAAGCCCTCTATTCATCCTTGTCAAAAGCGTCACAAGGACCTTGTAAGTTTACAAGACTCTGAACAAGATTATGTTGATTTGTTGAATACTGTACAAAGGCACACTTGCTGTAGTACAAACTATTGTCTTAGAAAGAAACAAAACGAAACAGAACTGAAATGTAGATTTAAGTTTCCATTTGAACCTTGTGTTAATACAAAACTAGAGTTTGAGCCCATTCATACAAAAGATGGAAGCACTCAATACAAAGCAAAGATCATAACAAAGAGGAATGATAGCAGACTCAATAATCACCAACGACTTCAGCTTCAAGGCTGGAGGGCAAACTGTGATATTCAAGTGATCATTGATTATCATGCATGTGTTGAATACCTTGCAAAATATGCTTCAAAAAGGTGAACCAAAGTCACCTGTAATGAAACTTGCATTTAATTCTATTGTCCGTAATTGCAACAACAATAGCAACCCTACAAAATTGATAAAAAGTGATAATGAAGTCACTTGGCCAACGTGACTTCTCTGCACAAGAGACTATGCATCATCTCATGTCACTGAAACTTGTCAGCTCATCATTTAATGTGGTACCTATTAGTCTAAATGGTTCACGTAGAATCAAAACTATAACAAATGATGGAGATACTGTAACCAATGACTCATTGCTTGATACTTACGCTAAAAGGGAAAAATATATTCAAACCATCCCAGATATAATGGCTCTTAATTTCATTCATTTTGCAACAAAATACAAACTTGTCAACAACAAACTAACAGTTCAGCCTCATAACATGATTCCCAGAGTTTTTCCAGTATTTTCTTCCAATTCAAAAGGTCCAAATTTTGGACTTTATTGCAAATATCAGTTACTTAAGCACAAACCTTGGCATACTACACAAGACAATGCCTGGGATTGTCAGGAAGGCACTGATGAAATATACATCACAAAATGGAAGGAATTTCTACAAACACCATATGCTGAAGAGCATGTTCCTGACTGGTATGAAAAACTACAAAGTGTACAGAATAACACAGAAGAGGAACCAAATATAGAGCACTCTTCAGAAGAGCTTCCACAGCGTGAAGAGTGGATGGATTTAGCAGATCTCATACCTGGGTATTTTGTTAACCAAGATAATATAACACAACAAACCTCTCAGCCTGATTATGACTGGCAAAATGACAAGATTAAGTATGCAAATCACTTAATACAGGAAATGCCATCCTGGATAAAAACTAAGAAAGATACTTTGGATTCTACCTTTGGTTTGCAACAACAAAATATTGATGTTAATACATTCAGTGACATGCAAAGACATGCCTACAATATGGTGAAAGCACATTCTGAACAAGCCTGCCCTAAAGATCCATTGCTTCTTATTATACTTTGAGTTGCGGTACAGGGAAAAGTTACCTCATTAATGCCATCCGAAACCTGCTCCAACACTCTTGTGCAGTGACTGCCACAACTGGCAAAGCTTCATTTAACATAAACGGATGTACAATCCATTCACTATTAAAATTGCCTGTTGGCCCAAGACATAACAAAGAATTAACAGGACAAGGGCTTGTCACATTACAAACCAAGCTGAAAGATATCAGTTATATCCTAATTGATGAATACTCTATGCTAGGACAAACATTGTTTGGCTGGATTGATAGACGCTGCCGACAAGCAACAGGCAAAATGACGAAGTATTTGGTGGTAAATCCATGATATTAGTTGGTGACCCAGCTCAATTGCCTCCAGTGGCAGATAAGCCATTATATCATTCGAGACCCTCCAGTTCTACAGGTGAACAAGGCTATTTAGCTTATCACATGTTTGGCAATGTTGTAAAACTGTCAGTAAACCAGAGGGTTCAAGGCTTAAATCAACAGCAAGCTCAGTTTAGAGATTTACTCATACGCCTTCGCACAGGAGATTCTAATGAGCAAGATTGGAAACTTCTTTGGCAAGACAGCCTTCCATAGCATTGAACGTGAATGAGTTTCAAGATGCCACTAGGCTCTATTTCAGCAATGAAGAAGTTGCTAATTATAACTTTGAACAGTTATCAAAACTTCATCAGCCAATAGCCTGCATCACTGCACGTCACTCTAGTGATATAGCTAAGAAAGCAAGTTCGGATGACATGTCAGGTTTACAACCGACCATTTTCCTTGCAAAAGGTGCACATGTAATGCTTACCATGAACCTATGGATAGATGTTGGACTTTGTAACGGTGCAACTGGAACGGTTGAAGATTTCATTTATGCAAACAACCAGCAACCACCAGACTTGCCTGTCGCTGTCATAGTAAAATTTAATGAGTACAGAGGTCCATCTATCAGTGATAGCATTCCACGATGTGTGCCTATATGCCCAATAACAATAACCTCACAGACACTAGATGGTTTACATGAGAGACAACAGTTGCCTCTCAAACTTGCTTGGGCAATCACAATACACAAGAGCCAAGGGTTAACACTGCCAAAAGCATGGATTGACATTGGTCAGACTGAAACTACTGCAGGCATTTCATATGTAGCTATAAGCAGAGTGAAAACACTTTCATCTTGTATTATTGAACCAATGACTTTTGAAAGACTTAAGAGTCTTAAGAAATCCACTAATTTAAAATATAGACTTGAAGAAGAAAGCAGGCTATATAATCTAGCAAATATAAATTGATCCCAAGTTGAGTGATGCGAACAAAGTCACTCACAACAGTACAGCACCCAAAATTGATTAATTAGAATAAATTGATTATACGGCCTTCAACACATGCATACATAAATG